CCTCTCCCTCATCCCTATGCTCCTGTTTCTCATGAGGCCTCTGTGCACAGCTCTCCACTATGTAAGCCCAATGTTTGTGATCATCACTGGAACTTTTATATAGCACACATATTAGTTGGGGTTGAATTAGACCCCAAATCTTTCTCAGAGCCAGAAAATTGAAGTATGTAGCTAGCTCAAATGTTTCCTTGGGTCAAAAATCTAAGTTCTCACACTTCATTAAATATTAACAACAAAACTGAAACCTGGAACAGAAATGCACAAAAAGTCCTACCACTTATTCAATATGTCAGGTCTTAACAACGTAGGCCTAGGCCTAAGTAACACAGCATTAACATTTTTTCTTTTCCTTTTTATTTGTGTTGGTCCTGGGGCTTGAAGTCAGGGCCAGGGTGCTATCCTTGAGTTTTTGTGCTTAGCGCTAATGCTCTACTACTTGTGCCACAGGTCTACTTTTGGCTCACAAAATTTCCTGCCTGGGCTGGCTTTGTACCATGATTCTCAGATCTCTGTCTCCTGAGTTGCAAGGATTACAGGTGTGAGCTACCAGAATGCAGCAAAATTTTTATTTTCTAAATGCCCATATATATATATATATATATACACACACACACACACACACACACACACACATATATATATATATATATTGGGGGGGTGTTAGCTTATTTTACTTAATGATTTCAAGGTCAGTGCATGGTGTGGAATGTATCAGAACTTTGGGTGTCTGAACTGTGAATAACAAGGCACTGAATATGTAACCCTATGTTTACCGAAGAACAAGTATGTGGATTGTCTTACCTTTTAGCTGTTGTGACTAAAACCGCTATGAGATTTCTTTATGAATATCTGTTGAAGTCCCTGTTTTTAGTTCTGTAGGGAACACATCCAAGACTAGGATTTCTGAGTCATATGGTTGATTCTGTCTTTAACTTCTCTATAAGCGAATTAAACTCTTTACCATAATGCCCACATTCTTAATATGGCTGAATCTTAGAAGTTTTACCCACAAGCATGCTGATTATTTCCCTTGGGAGTTAGTAAAATCACAGAGAATACTTTATATAGTATACTATACAAAATATTTAGTGTGGCCTTATGAATAACAGATTTTCTGCTCTGAGGTAAATTAAAAGTTCTTTTGGCTGGATACCGGTGGCTCACAGCTGTAATCCTAGCTACTCAGGAGGCTGAGATCTGAGGATTGCGGTTCAAAGCCAGCCTGGGCAGGAAAGGCCGTGAAATTCTTATCTCCAATAAACTACCAGAAAACTGGAAGTGATGCTGTGACTCAAGTGGTAGGGCGCTAGCCTTGAGCTGCAGAGCTGAGGGTCAGTACCCAGCCCTAGAGTTCAAGCCCCATGACTGACCAAAAAAAAAATTCTTTTGAAAAGACAAAATTAAACAATGTATCTTCTAACATAGAACTTAGAAAATATACAGCAGATTTCTAGGCATACTTGGTATAACATGAAAGTATGTTTACTGGAAAGAAAAATCCTGAAAATTCGTAAACTTAGAACAAACTCTTTACTTCATTTGCTTTCCTACTTCCAAAATGCTGTAAGAGAACTTGGCATAGTTCTTAATGTAAGTTAGAAAAAATATTTTTCATACAGTAAATATAATGTTTCTCTTTGGCTCCTTCTTCCAGACTGTTCACTGTGTTGAAGAGATACTGGGTTCTTCCAGGGTTTTGTTTAGGTGAGTTGTTTCTGAAATGAGTGGGCTCTCCAGGTAGGCAGTTCCTGCACAGGGTTTTCCTGACACTGGATCTATGACTTGGCCAACTTTGAAAACAATCTCGGCCAGTTCATGTTTCACATGCTTTGTTCTTGGAACAGGTAGAGCTCTGAGAAGCACAATGTCCCCGACAGTGCACTGCTGAAGGGCGTCATGAGCAAAGTAGGTTTTCCGCTTATTAAAATACTGTTGAGAAAAGGAGAGGAACAAATCAGTAGTTCTTACTGGTGACCTGGCAGTATAAAATAGAATATAACAAGGTAATGCTCCGAAAAGAGGCCAGGACTTGGGGAGAAGGGAAAAAACACCCTGAGCTCTTCAGGCCCTCCTCTGCTCTATTAGTTACCATCTCTCCACACACCAAACATTTTCCACTGAATATGCAAATCTCTCACTTATCTATGTGAATCACGTAATAACTCTAAACTCATTTTTTCCCTACCTAAAAGGAGGCTGTAGTTATCAGGAGACTTAAACATTATAACATATATAACACATGTAGTTCTAAGCCTGCCCCAAAGTGTCACAAATAAAATAATTAGAATCAGTTGCTTTTCCTAATCTTGGTGCATGAGGCCATTTCCATTTCACAGATGAGAAAAGCAGCTTAAGAAGGTTAGCACACACAGCATCAACAGGGTCAGTATTCAAGACCAGAACTCCCAAGGCCAATCACCAGGCCTTGTTTGGCTTGCTCCTATGATTTTGCTCCTAGATCACGATCAGCATTCCTATTGCCCATGAGCCCAAACTCAGATACAGACACCACCCTCCCTCCCCTGTATATCTAACAAGCCAATGACCATGTGCTTTCTTCCTGAAATCTTTTTCTGCTCCATCTCCACTGCTCCAACTTATGAGTTTCCTCATCCATTCTCTTTCCTCCAGCCCCCATCCTGTTTTCAAATGTTTTCCTTTAATTAAAAAATTAGGTCTAAAACATAAAAGACCATTCACAGTTAAGCCTGATTTATCTTTGCATTCATTTGATAGGAGTGCTCAGTAAATGTCGACCTCCTGGGCTCAACATTGCCCAACTACTCCCAAGAATGTAGAATACGCCTGCACCATCATAGCTAAATGAACTTCTTGCCACAAGCCACTCACAACAGTCGGTCCATCTATGGTCCTCTGGATAAAATCATACTTGAGGCTCAGCTTAAATATTTCTCTGAGAAACTCTTTATGGCAACCAAGGAGGAAAGAATTTAGCATACTGTTCTCTGCTCTCACATTCTGTATGCCTGTCGACATACCTATCAGAATAAATTGAAATTAACTGTGTGAACCACATTATACACACAGACCAGCCTGCTGGCTGCAGAGAGCAAATGTTCAACACCTCTCCTACTAATTGTGTTCTGCTCAAATCCAGAGAGTTCAATGTCTGGTGAAAATGGGGATGTTCCTCACCTTTAGTAAGTAGGGATCCAGGACAAGCCTAGTCACTCTCACTTTAGCAGTTCTTTGCATTGCTGTCCCAATTACCTTCCCCACGATCCATTTAGCGTGGACAGATGAACGAATCACTGACATTATGTGGCTTTGGTCACCTGAAAAACAAATTTCAAAGCTCAACATTCCAAGCTGGGGCTGAAGTTCAGGGTGGAATACCTGCCTAGCACAATGAGGCCCTGGGTTCATCTTCAGCTCTACAAACAAAAGATATCTCAAAACAAACCGAAGCCCTTAGGGTGACTATGACTTGTTCAATGAATTCAGTCCTGAGAACCGCCCAAGTTCAGAAACGGCTGTTATCTTTCTGGGGCCACCATTTCGCAGACGCGTAGGCCAGCCACCTCTTCACAGCCCAATCTCCAGTGCTCACCAGGCGGCAGGGTTCGTTTGCCTAGCTTCAGGGCCTCCTCCCCGCAGTGAGGGTCCCGACGCTCCCCGTCCGCCCTCCTGGCTGCTGATCTCAGGCCCGAGGCCCTGCCACTCGGGGTTCGCGGGACTCGGAGGGACTTCTCCAGGGGACCGGAGCCTCGCCGGGCAGTGCCTCTGGGGTCAGTCGCTCCCGAGGCCTCCCGCCAGGCCCGCGGGAGTCCGGGATGATCTCAGTCTCCGCCCCGACCGCCGTGAGGGTAGGCGACGCCTGGCCGCCGGTCCCGGAGCCGCGACCCGCGCGCCCGTGCTCACCTCAGCGTCCAACGCCGCAAGCACCGGGCGGAAGCGTGATGGCGTCAAGACGCACGCAGGCCCCGCCCCTGCCGCTCCTTTCCCCTGGGTCTAGGGCGGTCGCGGGTGTCGGGGCTGTTTTCCTGTGGCGCACTGCGCGCGGCGGCAGCGCTGGCAGTTCCCGCCGCAGTTGCGCCCCCTTCCCGTCTCCCTGTGGTGTGACGAGGCCTTGCCAAAGGGACGTTCATCACCAAGCAGTGCAACTTTGGGCTGCAAGCGGGAGGAATAGCTCCTAACGTTCTGTCCCGCGGCAAGACAGCTGCGGTTGACAACGTTTGGTTGCATTATGGCAAACAGCAGTGGGATTTTGAATGTTAAGACTGTGAAATAATAAACGTTTGAGGTAATGGATATACCAGTGACTCTGATCTGGTCCTTCGCGATGTTATAGACATGTATTGGAACGTCACTCCGTCCCTCATACATATGTACATTATATGTCAATTAAAAAAGACTGCATAAAACCAATGAAGCAGCTGATGTTTTTAAATCCAGAGACAGAGATATCCAGTTATTCCCACTCACTCTCCCTGCTTCTGTGTTCAGTGCAGGAATTGAACCCATGGCCTTGTGCATGTTAGGGAAGGGCTCGATCAAGCTTCTCCATCCAGCCTGTGCTGCTTGTTAAGTTTTGTAGCTTTTTATATCCATTATAATTCGTGTTACTTCTCAATGTCTGTTAAAGAGAGTCTGGATGAAGACCTACATTTCTGTGCCATTTATTAAGGATGAGTAGGCCACCTGATTGTACCTTTTCAGACAGAGGAAGACTAGGAATATATTAGGTTTTTGTTCAGAAGTTGCTGAGAGAAACAGCAACAAGGGACTACTGGAACAGTTTTTTTGTTTTGTAGGTCATGGGGCCTGAACTCTGGGCCTGGGCGCTGTCCCTCAGCTCTTCAGCTCAAGGCTAGTGCTCTACCACTTGCGCCACAGCGCTACCTTCCGGCTTTATTCTTTTTGCTCATTGGTGCTGAGGAATCAAACCCAGGGCCTCACACATGCAAGCAAGCACTCTACCACTGAGCCACCTTCCCAGCCCCATATTCCCACATTTTTAAGTGCGTAATTTCCCTATCTTATGTGCCACTGAATGAAAGACTATGGCTTAGAACTGTCTCACATTTGTACTTATGCAATTTCTCCTGCACATGGATTTTCCTGTGTTGATTAAGGAGAGTAATCTGGCAAAAGGCTTTCCCATACTCATGACACTTATAGGACTTCTCTCCTATATGTGTTCTTTCATGTTAAGATATGTCCTCTGGCTGAAGGCTTTTCTGCAAAAATTACATTCATACTGTTTCTCTCCAGTATGACATCTATGATGCTCAGTAAGAGATGTGATACAGCTGAAGGCTTTGCCACATTGATTACACTTATAGGACTTCTCTCCAGTATGGATTCTCAGAGGTTAAGTGAAGGAGGAATGTTGGTGAAAGGCTTTCCCACATTCATCACAAATAAAAGTTTTTCCCCTGTGTGAATTCTCTGATGTTGAATAAGATGTATTCTCTGGCTGAATCTTTTCCCACACTCATCACACTTATAAGTTTTCTCCCCTGTAAGGACTATCTGTGTTTGGGTAAGAGACGGGTTGTGGGTTCCATGTTCAATGGGTTTCTCTCTGGTGTGAATATAATTAGAAAGAAGAATATGTTCATTGAAGATTTTTCCACATTCATGGTATTTATAGGAACTTCTCTTGCATAGTTTCCCTGATAAATAAAATCTGAATTATGTTTGATGCTATTGGTTTGTGTGTCATAGTCAAGAGGTATTTTAATTAAAGGAATTTTCGGGTGTATAATAGGCTTTGAGTTCAGATGATATTTTTCCTCAAATTTATTTCCTTTAATGTTTCTCTCCTGTTCAGTTTTTTGGTGAGTAAAAGGTGTTTGTCTCTCCTGTTTTTCCTGGTTAAATTCTAGTTGATAATCAAAATCCCAGAGTCCTCCTAGGACAGAGTACCAGAAATGGACCTCTTCTTAGTCTTTCCATTATTGTGTCCTGGGTTTGATTTTCATCAGACATATTTTGGTTTACAGTTGATTTTTTTAGTTCAAGTGTTTTCTTTCCATCTAAAAGAAAGTCGGAACATACAAATTCTTTCCAACATTCTGTAGCTTTGAAAAGGAAATCAATGCATAATGAATTGTAAGTGAATCTGACTGTGTCCATGGGCTATATGACCTTGAGAGCTTTCATAGATGGCATGTAATGAGGTGAAAGACTACCAGAAGAGGAGAAAAAGCAGATAGTAAGGGGGAAAATGGAAGCAAGTGGCAGTCACAGAGGGAGTGGTCATTCAGAAGTATCCATGTTGGGCAGGAGAATAGCAGCTATCAAAGGCCCATGCTCAGGGATGGGGTATTAGAGGAATGGCTTGGCTGAGTGCCAGGTCCGAGTCTAGGCCTTATGACCATTATCTACCAGCTACTTGCTTATTTAAAAATATTAAAGGGCTGGGAATGTGGCTTAGTGGTAGTGTGCTTGCCTAGCATGCATGAAGCCCTGGGTTCTATTCCTCAGTACCACGTAAACAGAAAAAGCCAAAAGTGGTTATGTGGCTCAAGTGGTAGAGCTCTAACCTTGAGAAAAAGAAGCTCAAGGACAATGCCCAGGCCCTGAGTTCAAGCTCCAGGACTGGCAAAATAAAAGATTAAAAATTTCTTGGGTTGGGGGCATGACTCAAGTGGTAGAATGGTTACCTAACACGCTCAACGCCCTGGGCCAGAAAAAGTATTCTTATTTTCATCTTCTGTTGAGAGTGCTAAAAGTAATACTTGCTTACAGTAATACATTCAAATAATAGGTGCATAAGGAAAGACTCTCCCTTAGAAATAATCATAATAATTTCTGCGGAGCCTAGTTTATCTAAAAGGCTCCCTACACTCACACAAGAAACCATGTTTTGAACAAGCATGACTTATGGAATACAATAAAATCAAAATTTCATTTTGGATTTTGATTTCTTAATTCAAATGATTGTATATCCCTCCTGTTTTTTTTTGGTCAGTCGTGGGACTTGAATTCTGGGCCTGGGCGCTGTCCCTCAGCTCTTCAGCTCAAGGC